CAAGAGCACCTCGAGCATCTTCGAACTCTCTTCCAGCGCTTGACCCAACACGGTGTCACAGTCAACCCGACTAAGTGCGAACTCGGCAAATCAACGGTAGAATTCCTAGGCCACCTCGTTTCATCGTATGGTATCGAAGTCTTTCCTGATAAGATCCAGGCAATCAATGACTTCCCAGCTCCAACTTCCTTCAAGCACCTCCGTCGATTTTGTGGTTTGGTGAACTACTATCGACGCTTCATTCCGCGCTGCGCTCAGCTCATTCAGCCACTGACTGACCTACTCAGAGGAAATGGACTCAAGTTTGCTTTCCCCGACACAGCACAGGCAGCCTTCGCCGAGCTCAAGGATGTTATCTCCAACATAGCTCTCCTCGCTCATTCAGAATCGACTGCACCACTTTCTATTACGACTGATGCCTCAGACGTCGCGGTAGGGGTCGTCCTCCAACAACACGTTGGTGGGCAATGGCAACCCCTTGGGTTCTTCTCCAAGCGCCTGCAGCCAGCGGAATCCCGCTACAGCACGTTTGGCAGCGAACTGCTCGCCATTTACCTAGCGATACGTCACTTCCGGCACACACTCGAAGGCCGCACGTTCACGGTCTACACTGACCACTAGCCTCTCATATTCGCCTTCAACTCTACTTGCGACAAATACTCACCACGGGAAACAAGACACCTAGACTTTGTCACGCAGTTCACTGCTGACATACGTCATGTCTCAGGTGTCGACAATCTCGTCGCCGACGCTCTCTCACGCGTCAACCTCACTCTGCAGTCTTTGCCTACCGTCGACCTTGCCGCCATGGCATCGGCTCAGGCTCAAGACGAAGACCTACAGCGCACTCTGCAGTCCACTTCGCTGCATGTGCAACCTGTTCCTCTCCAAACCACGGAAGGAACCATTCTCTGTGACACTTCCACAGCTTGTCCTAGACCTCTCGTGCCCGTCTCCTTCAGACGCACAGTCTTTGACGCACTGCACTCACTATCACATCCTGGTATCCATGCATCTTTGAAACTGGTCACCGAACGTTTCGTTTGGCCACGCGTAAACAAAGATGTTCGTACCTGGGCTCGCGCCTGCCTCAATGCCAGCGCTCTAAAGTACATCGTCACACCCGCAGTCCACTTGATTCTTTTCCTGCCCCGGACTCTCGGTTCTCGCATGTACACTTAGACCTGGTAGGTCCTTTGCCTCCGTCACGCGGATTTGTATACATTCTTACATGTGTAGACCGCTTCACCAGATGGCCAGAAGCCATCCCCGTAACAGACTGCACAGCTGTGACTGTTATCCGGGCCTTCTTAGATCGGGGGTCTCGCACTATGGATGCCCGTCCACCATCACAATCGACCGAGGAAAGCCTTTGGAATCTTCACAATTCCATACGTTGTGCAACTTTTTAGGTTGTCGCCGCATTCATACCACAGCGTATCACCCAGCAGCCGACGGGTTAGTTGATCGCTTCCATAGACAGCTTAAAGCCTCGCTTTGTGCCTCCTCCGACCCTAGCTGGAGCGAAAACATTTCGCTCGTACTCTTAGGCATTCGCAGCAGCATCAAAGCTGACTTGCAATGTGCGCCAGCAGAGCTGGTTTGCGGCACGACGCTCCAAGTACAGGAGAATTCGTTTCACCTCTCGCATCGTCGGCTATGCCTCCACCTAACTTTGCGTCCTCCCTAGCTCAACGCATGCCTTCGCTACGCCCGACCCCGCCCCGTGAACAGACTAGAGATGAGCAAATGCACAGCTGACTCTCTACCTGCACTCAAGTCTTCCGCCGCACCGACGCAGTGCGGCGCCCTCTCCAGCCTCCCTACACTGGCCCTTTCAGAGTTCTGCAACGGACCCCGAAGCACTTTACTTTAGACCAGGATGGTCACCGAACAACGGTGTCCATCGACCGCCTCAAAGTGGCTTTCTTTGACGAGCCACTTGCAACCCATCCTGATGCTCTCGCACAAGCACCCGCACCTGTGTTGACTTCCCGAGCAATGGATAGCCCGGAACCCTCCGTACCCCTTGACCTGCAACCAACCCGCCTCAACCCCAGGCAACCGACCGACGCGGTAGACAGGTCAAACGTTCGGTCCATTTTTCAGATTTTGTAAGCCTTTGCTATTTCCATTAACATGCCTTTTTCGTCTTTAATGGTTACCTTGCGTCTCATCCACAAACGTTTTACAAAACCGACAAAAAAACCCAAAACATTTTGAAAACCTAGAAAGCGTATTTGCTTTTATCATGCATGCCATGTTCCCTCTCCGAAGTCAAGCCACTTCCTCGACCGTTGCCCACCCTCTCTGAGTTCTACCTTCCAGACACTCAACCGCCGGAACTGCCCAGGCAACCCTCGACTGACTCGCCAACCGGCTCAACGCAACCCTGGTGTGACTTGCCAGCCGTCCCAAAGCCCCCTTCCTCACGCAAGGAACAAACAGTCGCCCTCGACTGCAGACACCCACGAACGGATTGGTCCCCAAACGCCGCCCAGGCATTGCCGACGAGGACGCCGGATTTCTTCGTGGGCCCAGGAAGCCCGCATACCCTCGGAAGGCGAGGACGCCCGCAATGCTTCGTGGGACTAAGGCCGTGGACTAAAGTGCGGTGGAGGGAGTGACACCTCCCAAGCGCACCATCGGGTCTGCAGCAAAGGGAAGGTCCTGCCGGCCTTTATTCTGGACTGGCCAGTATTTTGCGGTCCGACCAGCCTGCCCCGACGGCCCACCGATGATGCACTCTGGTCCACACGATCGTCATAAATAACTAACAAAAGCATGAACCCAGCGAAATCTGCTACACACCCCACTTTGGAAGCCCTTACTCAAGCCCCTGCAAATATTCGCATCCACCCTCACTTTCCCTTTCCCCCCACTAACAGCTCCATCGAAGGCTTCCATTCTTCAGCCTTCTAGCGGGAGGCCCTTGTAGTGTACCGGAAAACAAGCTCTTTCAGTATTTTGTAACATTGGATTTTACGGTTGTTTTAACCTTCGAAACGTCCATTTGTTTTACTGACTGCACGTCCGTTGACACAAACCGTTTTGGTGAGTACCTCGCTGTACGTTTCTCGCTCTGTCTGATTCGCTTCCTATTCTTGTAGCCTGCACAATACACGTTGGGTTCAGTCTCCTCCGACTTCTATACTGTCGTATTTGACACGTCTTACGTGTCATTGCTTACCGACTAGTATCCCAGGCTCCGCCCAACAACCTAAAGGAATACCGTGAGCTATATTGCTGCAGTTAGATTACATATATCAAAAGTACAGCTGGCAGAACAAGATTTAGGCTATAATCGTTAGGTGGCTCACTATCTTCATCAATAGAATAGAGCTCCAAGCGAAGCTTACTATGACGTGCGGCAGCACTGTCCACCCCTAACCTCAGGAAGCACATATCTGTGTCGCATAATTCTATGGGAATTCTTGAATTCCGTATGCAGATCTTTGCAACACTGGCTAAAATATTAAACATTTGGGATCTAAGATCAGCTAGCTACACAAGCTGCTTTCTGACCGGATCAGGCCGGAAACTAGGTTATCGAGAAGAGTTATCGAGCGCTGAAACTCGCTATCAGAAAGTGTAGTCAGTAAATCTACGGTTAAGGGTTTCGGGCGTAAGTTAGACGCTCTTGGGTGACAACACTCTTCGATGAAATCTTTTATTTTAACGTCTTTCATTCCCCTTTATCTTCCATTTACTTTCTAATACTTTCTTACTTCACGTAACCTACACAGCGGGCACTGCTAGCACAGGGAACGTGGGCAGTAACTGGTTGAGCACGGTGTGTTCCGGGTGTTTCGTTTTATGTCTAGCAAGACCTAACACCTTAACATTTCCTGGCTCAACAATTTCCTCAAGAAGGAACACTCAAGGGATTTTCCTATCGTTCCCGTCCATCTGAATCTGAATCAAAAGTCAAACAGCAAGTGTTACTTTAACTACATAATGGCATGTGATTTGTCCACAACTGCCTTGTTCGCACCCGCATGTGCAGTTTCCATCCTTGTCAGCGATTTATGTAACGGGCAGGTTTTTGGTAATTTCTCCGAACAAATAACGATGGAGTACTGATTGGTATGGTGATTATATAAGCAATAAAATGCATTGGAGCTATGGTTTTTGCTAGGTTATGTACAATAGAAATTTACCACCATCAGTATCCTGAATATTATTCTCTCTCTGCCACCGAAAAAGTTGAGACGGCTGATTTAATCAACCGACGGCATTAATAAAAACAGTAATTACACATTATATAAGTCAGCAGATGCACAGTACTTATATAGACACGAGTTTATGTGCCTTATTTCTTTAATAGGAGCAGCTTATAAAAGTGTTGAAACAAGCGCTGGTTTCAAAAATAACTGATTTCATTTTCTGGGTGCGTGTTATTAAACGACGCTGGGACATTGTTTCAGAGGCACGCAATCTATCTCTGAAGTGCTTGTATATCTACATAATTACCTTTCAATCTTGTGTAGCCATAGCTATAAGATTGGTAGCTGTACTCGTACATAATCCATTGCACATCAATTTATTTCGTAAACTGTTCACACAATTGTTAGAGGCACCTTCATTTTGACATGTTAGGCTGCGTGTCTTATTTACTATAGATCGCTGTAGTGGTCGACTTTTGTGTACTTTATGTGCCTTTGTTTGCCGATAGAATAGATGTGTGTCATTATCCATGGGCTACGCATTGTTATATATATATATATATATATATATATATATATATACCTTCGGGAAGATTTCATGTGTTCTAAGCAATAGCACTTTCTATTTTCAACGTGTCGGGATTCTTTTAGGTCTGCAAAATTTCCTTATATGAAAGTTGTTTGGACATATGTTATTCACAGTTGTCCCCTCGCTTGCTCTGCCAACCGTTAAAGTGCTCGTTCCATATACTTTTCCAGGGTTTGCTTCGCTTTGCCTTAGGGTCCTTCAAGTGTTATCGACTTGTTGGCGCTTGATCTATAAACTAACTTTCTATGGACTGCGGATCTCATACGCAAAAGTACTTTTCTCTTCCATATTTTATCTTTTCTTAGGGTTAATGATGAGAGACGCTCCCTATTATCCTTCATTTGTCCCCGTCTACTTTCCTTTGGTACCGCTGATAATTTCCGGATCTCGCTTATCAGTCGGAACCTCTTATCTGAATTTGAGGCTTGTGATACAAGCGTCCTGTCAGGGAATGAGCTGATGAAAGTGTTTCTTCGTCTGAAGCCCTTCATGCAAAGCGGACAGGATCTGGACGATAAGGTTCCTTAGTTGTATGCGATCACCGTATTTATTTAGCCTGTGCTCAAATACGTAAACAAGCACACGGTCACGGCCAATCCTCCAGGAACCAGAAGATTAGGCATCCGAGAAAGCAGACGGACCAATCACAGATTTACTTTTTCTCAAGTTTTTGATTCAGCTGCAACCCAGTCGTCCGTCTTCTCCGTTGTTGCGGTCGATCAAATCCGGGGCTTCTTGGAGGGGCTTAATGGGCTTATATTTGCTTACGGAACGACTGGCTCTGGAAAAACCTACACTATGCAAGGTATTTTCATTATATTTCGGCTATCTCTCAGGATGCCTCCGCGACATGGGTCTTATTCCACGCACTTTATGTGTCCTTTTCCGCTCGGTTAAAAACTCAATGAATCCATCTCTCTTGCCAAAGGATTTTTCCGATGTCACTAATCTCAGTCCTGCAGAAGTAGAGAAGCTCCTCAGAGACAAAGCAGCTCTGCTCAAACTGGGCAACCACGTACTAGAGGTACCCACTTACTACTTCATTTCATTTCTTAGGATTCTTTCGGTATAGAAGACGGGGATCTAGAGTCAGTTTCCCAGCTCACAATCTTTGGCTCTAATGCAAGCAATGTGTCTGCCGATACGCCGTACGCATCCGTTCCTAACGGATGTATTACTCAGCCCCTCCGATCTACTAACGATCTTCGGTTCACGTTCTGGATTAGCTTTGCTGAAATCTACAACGAGTTAGTTTATGACCTTCTGGATCCTTCTCAATGCATGATAGTTACTCAGTTGGGCAGCTCCAATCGCCCTGGTGGTGTTCCTGTGCAGCAGAAAAACATTTTCAGTACGGTTCCTGGACACTCCGGTCTCGCTGATCTAAATTCTCACCGGCTGCGGAGGAAGTCGTTGGATCTAAGAACCGACAAAAACGGGAACGTTTTCATAAAAGGTCTGTTTATTTCCGTACGGACATTTTTATCATCTTAGTTTCAGGCTATAACTAGTGTACTCTTAAGTCTCGTTTCTGTTTCTTCATTTAGCTCCCGCATGTTCTGGTACCCTACAGTACCTTACATAGCACTGCTAGAAGCAGACGCCAGTTGGGCAGCTCTGCTTCCTTTAGGTTTGCTTATCTCTATTTCTGGGCTCAGCTAACCAAGCGGCAAGCTGCTTTTCAAATATTATTAATGATACCGGACTTCTATGGCGTCTTGTCTGTGTTCAACAGCCCTGTTTTCCACAATGTGTGTTAATGTGTAGGCACATTATCGGCCTCTGACAGATGCCACAAGTACTCTCTGGGAGAGTCAGCCGTTACGTCTTTCAGGTGAAGTCTCCCCAGCATCGACATCCTAATGACACTGCTGCGTATGCGCTCTAGATGCCGGAACGAATTTTCTTAGTGTTGATTATGGTGTTTTTTTTAATATTGTTTCCATGTCCAATCTCCCGGAACAATCTGTCCGTCCTTAAAAGTTGCCCTGCAAATTCTGGAGTTTGTCGCTAATTGGTGTGGTAGGTCACTGATGTCCCGTAGCCTTAACGATCACAAGCCTGTCTTCTAATCCATTGGCGCGGGTTCGATCCTGCACAGGGACCAGGCGACCCTCGCAGTATCCTTAGTCCACGTGCTACCGGTGGTGCTTGCGCGGCAACGAAGCGTCGGTACTGCATACCGGCGTATTGCTGATGCCTTACCAAATTATTCTCTTCGATTCTTCTTAGTTTGCCGCTGACTGGATTTTCTATTCACTCTAACTCATGGCTGTTCACTGGAAGTGTTTATTCCATTTTCAACTGATTATTGTCGTCAAGAGACATCACACCATCCCGTAAAGTAATATCTAAGTTGTAGCTACCTCGTTAGTGTCTCGAAACTGATCGTCAAATTATAGTGCAGTAGGTTACTATCCAGCTCGGGGCTTTGATTCAAAAAGTTGGCTTGCTTTACCGTTTGAGGTGCGTGTCTAATGATCAACTCTAACTTTTTTGGCGGCACCATTCAAAAGAATGGTCTGCCACGCTCTCTCAGCCTGAAAAACTCCCTTGATCATATTAGTCCGACTTTATGCAATTTTGTTTGTCATTGTCATCCATATTTAGTTTTGATCTTTCGGGTATCTGTAACTATACACCTTTTAGTGATCAAAATCTAAACATGAGTATCTACTCCCAACTCGGTGTCCAAGTTGAAATTGTATCTGTCGTGTACCATTATTTCATTTAGATTATGTGCACCAAGCTTACTTCAGTTTCCCTAATTTAAATTATCTGTCATTTATTTGTCAAAATACCATTAATAATTCCTGTTTCGTTTTTTGGCTTCGTGCATCTTCGCACCACCTTGGTGACCTGGTCAGCTTGTGTTACTGTCTATCCATGAGGGACGTGTCATGGAGATTCCGTTCCATACTGAAATCACTTGTGACTCCCGAGGGTGGCTAACAGACTACAGTAAATTATCTCCTAAGCTCCACACAAGTGAAGTTTGCCAAGGTTGTTATATATCTTTTCCTCTTCAACTTTGTGTTCAAAATGGCTATAATCTGCTCTTTTTTTTCTCTGCCTCTGCCATCATATAACCTCTATTAGTCAACTGCCTGACAAACCTTGTAGCCCATAGGTTACCGCTTCGAATCTGAGCAGATATAGGAGACCTCGCAGTATCCTTAGCGTACGCACAGCCGATGGTGATCGCGTGGTAGCGAAGCGTCGGTACGACGTACCTGAATGCTACCGATGCCAGACCCGGTGGGTAGGTAAACACCATTGAATAGATTGATGTGTAGCGCCGCACACTTCGACGTGTCCTTTGTACCTTCAAGATGAAGTGTTAGTACAAGGCTGAGCCAACACGTCACCTACTCTTGCAATCATCTGACATCAACTGGAAGTGGTGACTTAATTCACTTATCCTGGTAGTTGTATCACCTCTGCTGGTCACATCACTGAGGTTATTTCGAATAATCATCCTCAGTACACGCTAGCCGAGAGTAAGGAACACACCTCATCTAATGTGCCGCATCAGCAAAGGCTTTATGGTTTTTCAGAGATCCAACCATCGATGGAGACTGCGGACATCACCGTGTCACTCACTGGTGCGATAAGGCCGGTGCTGCTTTATGGGCCGAACAGTCACTTCACACTTAAAACTAGACCATTAAGCCATTCTTGATCATCAGTGCCTGTGGAGTATTGATCACATTTTTGGGAATGCTAAGTGAGCAAGTCTGAGATCCGCTAGTGGGTTTTTGGCGATAAACACTGGTGCCTCACTCGAATCTTTCTAGAGCTTGACCGCTTACTTTATCTAGATTATGTCCTCCCTATGCCCGTTAATGGCCTTTTACTGGAGTTTTATACGCTGTTTCTGCACCTAACTTTTCGAAAGCGCGAGATGGCCGGTCGATAATGTGGCATAAAGGCATGAAAAATTGACTGTAAGATTCTCAGACTGGTGTGTATTAGCTTCATGGATGGAGACCTCGGGATGGCCTACATCGGTGCTTAGAGAGCCTGTCGGATAATGCGCGGTTTTACAATCAGTGGCGCTGCTGCATCCGGTTTTTTGCATCTAGCTATTGATGTTCCATCCTGCTTACTTTTACCCACTCTTAACTCCATTTTCTTTGTGTTCTGTTCGTGTTCTGCCTCATTCTCCGTTGTTATTTGCTGTTCTTCCTAGGACGCGAGTCATGTCAACTGGATCCACAGCAGTTGGGTACTCTGCCATGTTTACTTTACTGAAATGTAGTGAACCACGTTGCCGTCTACCCTTCGTGTGCTGTCCACATTAAGGGCGGTATCACTTGCAGGCAGGCAGCATCCAGTATTTAACTGCTTTAGATACTATCCCAGTAGCCGAATGTACCAAGTTTCGTCACACAGTGAATTACAGTACAGATCATGATTCCGTGTCGCAAGCCATTCATGCGAGTGCTTCAAAATAAAAGCATCCTCATTACGCGTTATTAAAACAACAGCGCTGACGTTCAACCTCAGTGTGAGCTGACACGGACTAGAGAAGTATGCCGCCATCTTACTGCACTTTACCTTCATACCTCCAGCAGAGTGAGGGTCTACAGCAAGCATTCCCAGCCACTCGCTGTCAATAGGGATGTGCGACATGGCTGCCCTATGTCGGCATTCCTCTTTAACTTCACAGTCGAAGACGTTCTGTTGAGTTCTCTAGAAGGCTTCCAAAATTTTGGCCTAGAGCTACCGGGTGAGCGCGCGACCGACTTAGATTATGCTGTTGATGTCGCCTTACTTGGTGACGATCCTCATGGTATGCAACTCATTCTGGATCGTTTGGTGGTTGAAGCATCTAGGTATGGCTTGAGCTTCATCCCATCGAAGTGTAAAGTGCTGCTCCAGCACTGGCCTACACTCTCACTCTTGAAGGTGAACAATTGGAACGGGTAGTTTCGTCTACCTTGAGAGCTGTTTCTATAGGCGGCACTATCAGCAGGAAAGTTTATCTTCTCATCGCTAAAGACCGATCAGTATTTGCCAATCTGAGGCACTTGTGGCGTCGCCGCGACGTCTCATTCTCGCTAAAGGTCCATGTTTACAAAGCATTTGTTCGTTCAGTATTATTTTATAGAAGCGAGTCTTGGCTAATTCGCGTGGAAGACATGCGTCGTCTTTCTGCTTTCGACAACGGTTGGTTAAGGATCGCTTGTGTTAGGTGGTCACATCGAGTTCACTGTGATGAGGTTCGACGTCGCGTCTTTGGAACTGCGAGTATTCCCTTCAGCAAACCAATTTTGCTGCGCCAGTTGAGATGGCTTGATCACGTCCTACGCATGGCGCCTGAGCGTCTACCGCGTCGTGCTCTATTCGCTCGTCAAGGACCTGACTGGAGGTGACCGCGTGGTGCTCAACCTTCCACTTGGCGACAGCCCATGAAATCGCAGACTTCGCATCTAGTCGACATTTGACCCGTGCGTCTTCCAGGATGGGGACCTAAGGATGAGTAGTACCAATGGCTTAACACGTCTAAAGACATGGCCCACAACCGCAGTCGTTGGAAGAGTTGTGTACAGAATTGTATTGATTTACATGTTTAATACTTCAAACATTGCAACTAACAAAAAAAGAGAAAAATCAGCGTGTGAAAAACAAACCAAAAATGCTTCGTTCTGTTTCTAGTCAACTTGCACTTTCCTTTGATTATCATGGTTTACTTGATTGCCCTATGTCCATTTCTCGGATATATATATATATATATATATATATATATATATATATATATATATATATATTGTGGGCAGGCTACTGTTAGGTTGCCCAGGCCTAGACAGCAGAACGATTAGTGTTCACAACCAATGCTTTGGTTCAAAACCTGACCACAAGGCAGCAAGTTTGACAGTGGACTACAAGGAGTCCGTTTTAAGGAGAAAGCAGCCACCGTCATTCCAACTCCCAACCTGGAAGGCTTGGAGTTTTCTTACCTCTAACCATTGACCAATCTGGTAGGAATTGCACTGAAGGTGCAAAAGAGGACCACCCAGCGTAGCTCAGTGAATCGCTGAGACGCGCAAACCATCGCACGGTAACGAAAAAGCTTAAAAGATGCGGCGTGTAAAAAATAAATATCCTTTCTTCCTGTGGCACGGTAGCTGAAGTGTATTGCTCACCTTCAATTACTGCGCCACGATGATTATAACGCAGTGACTCTGCTCCTCATCCGCTTATTTCCATGGTTTTTTGTTGACTCTTTGTTTACTAGACTGTAGTGACGATCACTACTAGTGTGACTAGAGCTGAACGTATTACTCGGCTTTGACCAACATTCATCACCACTGATAGACGGTCACAACCCACTTGAGACTAGTTCGATCGTTGTTTCATGCTATTTGGCACGAAGAAAAGTGTCGTCCACCCAGCGACTGTCAGCTTATTAGTAACCTTTTAACAACGGCTTACTGTCTTAGTATCCCGAAG